ACAATTTTCACGATGCAAAATACTACTTCTGATAAAACAGAATTTGACAAAATTTGTGGCATTATTTAATGTGTTGATCAGAGCTGTGTATGCCTCATCCACTGGTCACTGTCGACCAATGTCCGAAACTCTAGCCTGAAAGGGTCATCATTTTCAACACATCTAGTGGCTCAAGAATCACAAAAACCTGAGGGGAAATATGTATATAATAATCAACTCATTCTCCCCTGAAACTTTGTAATGGACTATTCCAATCCTGGAATTGGAAGAGTTCAAATGTGTCTTCAGGAGTGAATGAATTAACTACTTACATTTCTTTAGTTGGGAACAATTCAAAGCCTAGATCAGTTTAACAGATTTCAATGGGAAATGCGGACAGCTAAGTTTGTCTTGCATTGATAGATGTGAAAATTATATGAATGTCATCTTCTTGACAAGGTTTCTAATTGTTAGGATTTGCGGACATCATTAAATGTGTTGATCAGAGCTATGTATGCCTCATCCACTGGTCACTGTCGACCAATGTCCGAAACTCTAGCCTGAAAGGGTCATCATTTTTAACACATCCAGTTGCTCAAGTATGTACATAATTAACTTCTTAATTTTGTTTTTGACAAAATCATAATCTGTAGCCTACTATCAGTAACCATGTTGTTGGGTACTGTGAAATGATGTGAAAATCATGACTTCTTTCTTCTTGATGCTCACTGATTTCATTAATCTAGACAATCACTGATAATGAATAATTTCTATTATATATGAAATTTTATAATTTTGTTGTTTAAACAAGAGGCCCAAGAGGGCCTGTATCGCTCACCTGAATATTTAAGCAGTCAAAGCAAAATATTCTCATTAAATATTATATAGCACTAAAAATATTTTCCTCACAAACTTTGTTGGCTCCATCTGTTGAAACTACCAGCAAAATATTATTATAAGATTCTATGCTTTTTGATTCTTCTTCAGAAGTTGCTTGACATATTTTTCCCTGTGATCTTGTAAGTAGGTCTATGTCATTTTCCTTCTCCAATTGGTTAGCTCTATTCCAAAAAGCTACCAGCCAAATCTTATGAATCCATTCCTTTTAGTTCTCAAGAACAAATCCATTAAAATGTTGTTGACCTCTGTGACCTCTGAAGTAGGTTGAGGGCATTTTCATTTGCAAACTTTGGTGAGCTCTATCCCATTTTATGCCTTTTAATTCTTCAAAAGAAGCTGTTTGAACTGTTTGACATATTTGAACGCTGTGACCTTGAAAGTAGGACAAGGTAATTTAAATTCGAAAACTTTGTTTGGCTCTTTCCCAGGAAGCCACCTGCCAAATATTAAGATTTTATAACTACCAGTTCTTCAGAAGAAGTCGTTTAAAGTGTTTTGACATATCTGCCTCCTGTGACCTTGAAAAAAAGTCCAGGTCATTTTCATTCTCAAACTTTGTTGGGCTCTATCCAAGGAAGCCATCAATCAAAAATAAAGATTCTTTACCTTTCGGTTCTTCAGAAGAAGTCATTTTAAGCTTTTGACATATATGACCCCTGTGACCTTGAAAGTAGGTCAAACTAGTTTTCATTCTCAAACTTTGTTTTGCTCTATCTGTAGGAAGCCACCAGCTAAATATAAATATTATATATCTTTCAGTTCTTCGGTAGAAGTCGTTTGAAGTGTTTGACACATTTGACCCCTGTGACCTTGAAAGTAGGTCAAACTAATTTTCATTCTCAAACTTTGTTGGTCTCTATCCCAGGAAGCCACCAGCTAAATATAAAGATTCTATATCTTTCAGTTCTTCAGAAGAAGTCGTTTGAAGTGTTTGATACATTTGACCCCTGTGACCTTGAAAGTAGGTCAAGGTCATTTTCATTCTCAAACTTTGTTGGGCTCTATCCCAGGAAGCCATCAGCCAAATATGAAGATTCTATACCTTTTAGTTCTTCAGAAGTCGTTTGAAGTTTTAGACATATTTGACCCCTGTGACCTTGAAAACAGGTCAAGGTCATTTTCGTTCTCAAACTTTGTAGGGCTCCTACCAACGAAGCTTTCAGCCAAATACGATGACTCTAGGCCTGTCCGTTCTTCATAAGAAGTTGTTTAAAGGAAAAGTTGACGGACGAGGACGGACGGACGACGGACGCCGCACCACGGCATAAGCTCACTTGGCACTTTGTGCCAGGTGAGCTAAAAACTCAAATACGGAAGCCCTTTCATCTTTGTGTTAATAAGTATAGTGTATGCTTCATCCACTGGTCACTGCGGACCAATGTCTGAGACTCTAGCCTGAAAGGGTCATCATTTTCAACACATCTCGTGGCTCAAGAATCACAAAAACCTGAAGGGTAATATGTATATAATAATCAACTCATTCACCCCTGAAACTTTGTAATGGACTATTCCAATCCTGGAATTGGAAGAGTTCAAATGTGTCTTCAGGAGTGAATGAATTAACTACTTACATTTCTTTAGTTGGGAACAATTCAAAGCCTAGATCAGTTTAACAGATATCAATGGGAAATGTGGACAGCTAAGTTTGTCTTGCATTGATAGATGTGAAAATTATATGAATGTCATCTTCTTGACAAGGTTTCTAATTGTTAGGATTTGCGGATATCATTAAATGTGTTGATCAGAGCTGTGTATGCCTCATCCACTGGTCACTGTCGACCAATGTCCGAAACTCTAGCCTGAAAGGGTCATAATTGTTAACACATCTAGTGGCTCAAGAATCACAAAAACCTGAGGGGAAATATGTATATAATAATCAACTCATTCACCCCTGAAACTATGTGATGGACTATTCCGATCCTGGAATTGGAAGAGTTCAAATGTGTCTTCAGGAGTGAATGAATTAACTACTTACATTTCTTTAGTTGGGAACAATTCAAAGCCTAGATCAGTTTAACAGATATCAATGGGAAATGTGGACAGCTAAGTTTGTCTTGCATTGATAGATGTGAAAATTATATGAATGTCATCTTCTTGACAAGGTTTCTAATTGTTAGGATTTGCGGATATCATTAAATGTGTTGATCAGAGTTGTGTATGCCTCATCCACTGGTCACTGTCGACCAATGTCCGAAACTCTAGCCTGAAAGGGTCATCATTTTCAACACATCCAGTTGCTCAAGTATGTACATAATTAACTTCTTAATTTTGTTTTTGACAAAATCATAATCTGTAGCCTACTATCAGTAACCATGTCGTTGGGTACTGTGAAATGATGTGAAAATCATGACTTCTTTCTTCTTGATAATGTTTCATATTTTGATGGTTCACTGATATCATTAATCTAGACAATCACTGATAATGAATAATTTCTATTATATATGAAATTTTATAATTTTGTTGTTTAAAAAACTCAAACACGGAAGCCCTTTCATCTTTGTGTTAATCAGTATAGTGTATGCTTCATCCACTGGTCACTGCGGACCATGTCTGAGACTCTAGCCTGAAAGGGTCATCATTTTCAACAATTTTCACGATGCAAAATACTACTTCTGATAAAACAGAATTTGACAAAATTTGTGGCATTATTTAATGTGTTGATCAGAGCTGTGTATGCCTCATCCACTGGTCACTGTCGACCAATGTCCGAAACTCTAGCCTGAAAGGGTCATCATTTTCAACACATCTAGTGGCTCAAGAATCACAAAAACCTGAGGGGAAATATGTATATAATAATCAACTCATTCTCCCCTGAAACTTTGTAATGGACTATTCCAATCCTGGAATTGGAAGAGTTCAAATGTGTCTTCAGGAGTGAATGAATTAACTACTTACATTTCTTTAGTTGGGAACAATTCAAAGCCTAGATCAGTTTAACAGATATCAATGGGAAATGTGGACAGCTAAGTTTGTCTTGCATTGATAGATGTGAAAATTATATGAATGTCATCTTCTTGACAAGGTTTCTAATTGTTAGGATTTGCGGATATCATTAAATGTGTTGATCAGAGTTGTGTATGCCTCATCCACTGGTCACTGTCGACCAATGTCCGAAACTCTAGCCTGAAAGGGTCATCATTTTCAACAAATTTCAAGACGCAAAATACTATTTCTGATAAAACATGAAATTCTTCATATCAAATGGTCAAAAACATTTAGATCTTTGAGCTTTTGACTTGATAGTTTATCAGTACTTATTAACTAGCCTTGTTTGTACTTAATTTGTCTCTCAGTTATCTACAGGAACAATTTAAATCAACTTTTGTTTTAAAAGAGTAAATTTGATCATAAAGCACAATTTCTATGGAGATTGTTGTTGTGTAAATCATAGAAATACCAATACAACTTATAAAGGTAACAGTAACAGAATTTGACAAAAAATTTGCCATTATTTAATGTGTTGATCAGAGTTGTGTATGCCTCATCCACTGGTCACTGTCGACCAATGTCCGAAACTCTAGCCTGAAAGGGTCATCATTTTCAACAATTTTCACGATGCAAAATACTACTTCTGATAAAACATGAAATTCCTCAGATCAAATGGTCAAGAACAAAATCCCTAATTTAGATCTTTGAGCTATTGACTTGATAGTTATCCGTACTTATTTACTAGCCTTGTTATGTACTTAATTTGTCTCTCAGTTAGCTACAGGAACAATTTGAATCAACTTTTGTTTTAAAAGAGTAAATTTGATAATAAAGCACAATTTCTATGGAGATTGTTGTGTAAATCATAGAAATACCAATACAACTTATGAAAGTAACATTAACAGAATTTGACGAAATTTTTGCCATTATTTAATGTGCTGATCAGAGTTGTGTATGCCTCATCCACTGGTCACTGTCGACCAATGTCCGAAACTCTAGCCTGAAAGGGTCATCATTTTCAACACTTACAATTCTGTGTGAATTGCAATGAGATCATCATTGAAAAGTTTTCCACAAAATGCTAAATTTCATTTTTCATTTTATTCCAATCAATACCATTATCCTTTGGTCTTACCTCAAGCATACCACTTTTATCCCCGACAATTAGAGCCCCGACTATCCATTGGTCTTACCTCAAGCATACCACCTTTATCCCTGACAATTAGGTAGAGTCTGTATAGGTCAAGGGGCTGCTTGCTGATGGAGGGCATAGAAGTGATAGGCTGCGACCGCTCCTCGAGGAACACAAATAGACGATCCAGGAAGTACTTTCGCTCAGGCTCGCTGCCCATTTCATACAGCTTCGCTACGTCACCACCGCCCTTCTATAAAGACAAATAGGAATGAAAGTCATGTGCTCAGGGAAATATGGGGAGAATGGCATGCTTTCAATACTACATCAATGACTGTAGGGCTGTCTTACCAGGCTTGGCGGAGTGCTGTTTGGGAGGGAGGAAAAAAGAGAAGAAAAAAAACAAACAAAATAAAATAAAACATTCATCATACAAAAAAATACATCACCAATATATGGAACGTACTCGTGACAGGTTTACAACAAAAATTCATTTTATACTTTGCTCTTCTCAATTAATTGTCAAATCCAGATGTCTAATGATTAAAGATATAGAAAAGAATGAACGCAAGAACAAAGAAATTGACAAGACGAGAATCAACATTCATCAGAGAATTTGTCTTTGAATTCAAATTACTACTTTATAGTTGAGAAAAGGAAGCAAGATAAATAAAAATATCCAGGAATATTTCAAACTCAATTAATCATTATCAGCAAAATGCTTGGCAAAATTGGACAAATGACAAAACATGAATTTTCCAGAGAAGAGAAAAACGTGTGAAAATACATAAAACATGATGATGCAGGGAAAGTTCATAACCACTGATTGACGCAAAACACTAAAGTGTGACATTAAGGCTTACGAACTGAACCACTCTTTACAGTGCAAAGTGAAAACGTCAAAACGAGATTGAACAGGAAACAAAAACATATATGCTCTGTGCAACTTGGATTTGATCTTATCAAATGGATAAAGTTTGCCATAAATAACAACTGCAAATGCAAAAGACTATCTAGAAAATCAATAAGAAAATTAACAAATTAACAAAGTCTAATTTGCAAGTGAAATGTGACCCCCAAGAAGGTCTAATAGTCAAAATGGAGGTGAATTAAACTCCAATAGAGTGTTAAACTAATGAAATGTTGACAATGAAATAAAGGTGCACATTGGTAATTAAAATGCAAATGAATTAGTATTAATTGGCTGCAGTAGGTGATGGGTTATATAATTTACTTTCATCATACAGTAGTTTCATCTCATAAAATTCAGCAGGTGCCCTCTATTAATGACATCCATGCTATGAAACAATCTACATATGCAGCTTCCTCTAAGTGTGTGATGTGATTATTTTTACTTAGGACATGACCGCAGAACTTGACGGATATTATTGTTTTTAACAAAAAATATATTTGAATATGATTTAAAATGGAAGGCTAAAAGATCTAACCTTGATGATGCATAACAAATTGTAAAATCATTGCTTTTGGTTGTGATTAAACTTTCAATTAGTAGTGTAATAAATGGCAATTAACTGGTATTAATTAATATTTTAGTTGTTACATAATTTGCTATTGATCATCTTGGCAAAACATTTATGAAACAATTTTGTAAACACAAACCCGATGCCTTGTTCTGATGTTGCAAGTGATTTTTGAAAGCCAAAGATAAATAGTTCATAGGATATGCCATGTCAACAAGAAACAGAAATTTCAAACCAAATTTGAACAAAAACTTGAAAGTAAAACATTTCTATAAATAACAATAAACTTTAAACTTTGAAATACAAGAGCTGTGCCAAAATCAAGGCCTTCGAGCATGATATTACCTGCATCTGATCCTGTGAGTGCCGAGTCAGTAAAAATGCAAATAATGAAATTATAAATGACATGATCAAACCATTAGTCCAAGTGAGCAAAGCACGAATGGTAGTAAATACTTTACACCAGTAAGTCCCATATATCAGCATGGTCTTTTACACTGTCATCTCCCTAACACAGTCTACTCTGTTTTATATCAGTCTCTTTTTGTCTCAAATATGCTATATTAGCTTCAATCAAAATATTGCAATCAAACTTCAAAAGAGTTTCTGTTAAAGGGAGATAACAAATGTCTGACAGTAGTACAAGCCTAGTGTGCAAGTCACATCCAGGAACCACATGTTTTGTGACATACTGGCATTGTCCAGTACAATGTGCAGGGCAGACAAGACCAGTACCAGTTATGAATAATAAAAATCACAACTTCACCACTATAAAGAAAATATATATATATAAATATAAAATATGTAAATAATACAAATGCCATGACAACCACATCCCACAGCGGGCGGACGGTATGATGCAGGAGGGTACCACACCCATGACGAGCGAGCAGGCTATCGAGCGAGCGACGGGGGAGGTGTAGGACTTACTGTCATGGTGACCCACGAGGGAACCACCGCCGGGCCAGATGTGGAGCTAGCCGGACTGGCGATATTGTCAAAGTCGTCGTGACAAGATGAAATACTGGCTCCGCCAGGTGATGGTGCCACTGAACTGGCGGGAGTAGGTGGATGTGACAATACACCCTCCTACAATGAAGGCAAGTCTACGGCTCATTACCTGTCCTTAGGTCACTAAGTGAGTACAGCAGTGTATTGCTACTGTGGATATGAAAGCTTAGCTCTATACCTGTAAATCGAGGCAAAAATTACCAATTGCTCATTTAAATGGACAAGTCAGACATTGTATTTATACAACAAACATCAGACTTGCCCCAGAGCAGCAATTGTTAAGTTTATTCTTCCCCGGTTTATGTTTGAGAGCTGAGCCCCTTTGCTGCAAGAGTTTGCAGTCAAGATCAATTTGTTGTTGAGCGAGTCTGTCACTGCCTATGAAAAGTACAGCCAATCATATATAGCATCAACCTCAGAAACAAAATCAACTCAAAATGCAAACTTCACCCTCAAGTGCATCATTCAATCATGTTCATATCCCACAGGAGATTCAAGCTTGAAAGTAAAAGCCCTGAAAACACATGCTGACAGAAGGCTAAACTACATACTGTTCATTTATAATCAACTTAATAACAATTTAGTTCCTAAATCAGTATGATTTTTTTGCAATTGTTACTCAGCAATATTTATAGTTGTACTATTATAACTTCTACTTTCATGGAATTTGTTTTGATACAGAAAAAGTCAAAATCAAAACCACACTTCTACATTTATGTTACTATTGATTTTGTCAATGGCATTGTATCTACAATTGTAGGCCCTGCTTCACAACTGTGCCAGATTACCTCCCTTCAACTACTCTCGTTTCTTACAAGATCTGAATTGCTGTGAAACAACAGCCTGAAAGTTACATATTTAAATCTTCTTTATATTCTGACAACAGGCTTTTTTTTCTTAATCATTTTTTAAAAGATAATCCCAGCTTATGTTTTCCCAAGAACTAATGAGAATACAAAAACAAATCATGTATGCAGTAGCATCTCGTGTAAGTTGCTCAAACTTTTGTTAGACAACCGACAAGTTCGTACAATTTTCAACAATTACAACAGAACAATCAGATCATTGAAGATTTATGTGTTAACAAACGTACTACAAAAAAGAAAAGAATCTTAAACTTGTCATCTAACAAAATCTGGAACAAACCGATTTGGTTATAATTGATTTAATATTCACAGATGACATATCAAAAACATCAACAGGAAAACGTGTGATTATGTTTACAGCTACACTAAAGTGTTTGTAGATGGGTATGAATCGTACCTTTTTCTTTTTCTCCGTGGATGGAGGGGGAGGGGCAGGAGCCTCCTCTATCGTAGGGATCGGCGGCATGGGTAAACAGTTAGGTTGTGGGGGGATGGGAATGTGGTCCTGATGGCTGTCGTTGCTGTTCCCGGCCTCGGAAATGCTCGTCACCGGGCTAGTGATGCTCTGAGTGACTATCGTTTTTATATCTGGTAACCAAAGTACATGTGTAGTCGTGTAAATAGTCAGGTTCACAAGGAGAAATTTCTCTACAGAATACTTATATTCTTAATCCAAATTAAAAGCACATCGAAAAATATTCCCATGCATCATTTTTTGGCCTTTTGATATCTTAACAGCATCAACATGAACCAATGCCAACATTAAAATATGCAATCAACTAGGGTCACTCGATCAGAAAATTCTTTACAATGTATCGGATTTGAAATAACTACAAACATTCCTTTTAGAAATATTTCTGCTTAAAACTAGGTCTAGACAATTACTGATAATGAACTGGTTCAGTTACATATTAAATTTTAATATATTATGGTTTAAAACTAAAATAAGGAAGCCCTTGCGTCTTGGTGTTGATCAGTATGGTGTTTGCCTCATTCATTGATCATTATCGACCAATGTCTGAAACTCTAGCCTGAAATTCAGGTCATCATTTTCAACACAACATTTTTTATGTAAAGATTGCTGCATTTTTCATCAGAAAGTTGAGATTTTCTTACTAAATATTCCTTCCTCCAAATTACTTACCTGAGTTTGTTGTAGTTGCTGTAGTGGTGATGGGCATTTCTTGCTTAGATGAGAATGGTGAGGATACTTGCTCCATTGGCATGCCTGATGGTACACTGTCTGATGACATTGCATTTAGTCTTTGATCCTTTCCATCTATTGACTGATTCTCGTGGTGTGACTTTGTCATACCAGAGGAGTTGCTATCTACATCCGAGCTTTGATTGGGCGTATTACACACAGGTGCTACCCCCTGGGGGTCACTACTGCCCTTCTTTTTAGTGTCATGTTGACTATTTTGTGTCGAATCAGGAGCACTAGAATGAACTTCACTTTCAGTAATTGGAACACTTGTATTGGATAACGTTGAGCTAGATGAATTAGAGTCATGCTGTTGCATATTTGGTGTCCTAGATGGAGGGATATTTGATGAAGGCATATTTGAATCCATGGAAGAGGCTAATGATGACGATATAACTGAATTATCAGACGGCATACTACCAGATGAAATGTTCTGTTGCACAGACGTTGCTGGCAACATGGAACCATTGTTATTATTGCCGCCTATACTATTTGGTAAAGAACTATTAGGAACACTACTAGATATTGGTACAGACATGCTATTATTATCGTTGGGCATTGTAGATGGTGAAGTACATGGTAAATGGCCACCCATTGAACTAGAATTAGGCACTGGCGAATGCGAGTTGGGCAACTGATTCATATTTGAGTTTGGTATGTTAGAGTTGAAGTTGTGCCCATATCCTACATGGTTCATTTGATTCATTTGGCCCATTTGCTGTGGTGGCGTATACATTCTTTGCGGATTTGTCATGGTGGGACGTACTGCCACTGGTTGTTGACCTTTTGCAGAATTGGCCGCCGCTATCAAAGCAGCTTGAGCAGCCGCCTGTGCACCTTTAACTGCAGGGACAGTTGCTCCAACTGGTTGTCCTGGACTACTTGCCGCCATGTTTTGTCCTTGTTGGCCCAGGGATCCTGCCATGCCACTGTTTTGAGACATCCCTGAATGACTCCCAGGTCCCAGCCCCAGCCCAGGACTTGGACCTCCACTACTTGGACCATTGGGTCCGGGGCTGGGACCACCAGCATTGGGACCGATTGGTCCAGGGCTTGGACCTCCTGGGACTACAGAGACTCCAGGCCCAGGACTGGCACCTGGACCTGGACCAGGACCAGGACCAGGCCCAGAACCAGGCCCTGGCCCTGGCCCCGAGTTCTGACCAGGACCAGGACCAGGACCAGGACCTGGACCAGGACCTGGACCTGGACCTGGACCCGGAACTGGACCCGGACCCGGACCAGGGCCTGATCCTTGACCCATATGGTTCCCATAACTATTACCATACTGATTGTTCACATTCATCATGCTATTCTGTCCACTACTGTACATAGGATAGTTCCTGTTGCCCATAGGCATATTGTTATACATGTTAGCATTCCCGTGACTTGGACCATTGTACATATTCTGTTGAGGGTAGTTCTGCATCACAGCGTTTCCCTGCATATTGCCGCCTTGCCTACCAGGGTACATTCCTGAATACAACAGAAACACAATTTAAATATTCCTGACTTTTAAAGATTTTTAAGCAGGTTTTTTTCATATTACCAAATTTCATGTCCAGAAAAGCCTGTAGTTGGTAAATGGCAGACACATATATTGTACGATGATTAATGAATTCGGGGATATCTCTGAAACTCATTTCTTCTTTCTACATTCCACATCTCTTCACAGAAATTGATTGTAGACTGCTTCAATTTAAGTAAACTAGTGGTATACTTTACTTTTTCTGCTCTTTCCAAATAAATTCATCACAAACTTTATTCTATGAAGTCTACAATATTTATTGTTGCATTTGCAATGTCAATATATTTTTTTTACCAAAACCTCTGATAGGTGAAAGAAGGAGTTATGTTATATAGAAATATGGAAGTCATTTCTACACCCTTAGATACATTTCCATATTTCCCATACCTGCCTCTGATGGGACCCTATACACCTTGTTTTACCATAACCGAAAGTACAGGAATCGTGTTGGTAAAATACTTAAAAACCTATCAAAAAGCATATGTTAAAAGTAGTAAGCCATGAAATGAAGCCAAACATTCAATTCTGTTCATCTTGCATCAGGAATTTTTCTCATAATTTTTACATAATTTTTCTTTGCAAATTTCAAGATTTCCAGAATTTTTGGGGAAACCGATTTCTTCAGTCTCTACAAAAGATGTCTCCCACTATACATAACAGGCAAGTTTACAACTTCTTATGAAATGCAAATTTAAGCTGATCAATTTTATAGCATGAAATTTGTATTTCATAATGGACAGATCTTCTAATAATTTTCATTTTACTACGTCGGTTCAATTTTAATCAAGACAAATGCCCATTAAAATTTATACATTACAGGTACATGCCACTGCAATATAAAAGTTCAATATAATTAACACCCCCCCACCACCCCCACCAAAATATCCTGTATTACATATAAATTCTTTTGAAGAAATGGAAATAACGGAGCAAAAATGTAACTATTGTTACAATAATTGGGCAAGTATTGGACAGGAAACATCTGATGTGTCGCTCACCTGGCTGAGAGAAGTGAGAGTTATACTGAGGATAGTGTCCACCCACGGAGTTACCTCCCATGCCACTACCAGGAATCTTACCACCACTTCCAGGTCCGAAGTTCCCCTGGTTTGGACCCATTGGTGGTGGCATCATCTGCTGGTTGTAACCTACAAAGTCAAATATGTGCTGATCTTCTTACCATAATTTGAGGATTTTTTATAATAGAACAATGAACAGTTTAAAACCGACGATTTCCTATTAACAGAACAGCTGCAAATTTTCTTAACTTTAGAAATCATATTTTTATAACTTCAATATTTCCTCTGAACTAGCACTGGAATATTTTTGTTCAACATAATAAACAGTCCAGTTTCCTTACACTCTGTACGTGTTTTACCTTGAGTAGCCATCGGTGACTGCGTCATGCGAGTGTTTTGTCCATCAGAAGAGGGGCGAGTTGGCATAGGACTCCCTGCCTGGGTACTACCTGTAATGATATAAAGAGAAATTTTTTTTTATATTGTTGCAGTGATCAGCTTTATCACCAGCTCCAGAGGATCCAATAGCTAGCTTTCTGAATCCAAAATTTCTTACAAGAGTTTGGTGTTCTGAACACCCTTTAATGTACGACACAAATATACGATCAGTAATAACATTTTATACTCCAAGAAATTCTGTGGGCACCCTGAGATTTGTTTATAAACTTGCTATACAGCAGCATCTCTTTGTCATCACTTTCAGAACAGCCTTACCTCATGTAAAGTGCCCTCAATAATTACATACAGCTTCATGACCAGTACTTAATTGATTTTACATCAATTATTCATGTCCACAACTGTCAACAGCTAAACAAAACAATGCAGATGACCTTTATATCCACAGAATAGTAATCCCACCCTGGCTAGATTCAACAACTCTGTGTTAAGTCACAAATCAAGTTCACCCATAAAACAGTGATGTCAAATCTTGTTACTTTTTGTTTTTGAATTCCTCTTTCTCAAAACTACTAAATATATACATCTACATGACTTTCAGATTGTTATTTTTCATTTAACTTTGTTGTTAATTAGCATTTCAAATAAGAAACTGAGACATCAATCAGAGAGAAGTTAAAATCTCCCCTTTAAAATGGTGATTAAATAGGACAACCATCATGAGAAATCTTTTAGGATGTGGAGATGCTCTATGTCATGGAATTTTTAAGTTTACATGGTTAGGAAGCTAGAACACAGATTGGTATGTTGTTTTTTATATGTGTACATGAATGTGTCAGATCAGAAGTACACTGCTTGCCCCAAAAATCATGAAGAAAAGCGGAAAAGTTTTGTAAACTTAACCATGAATCAACACTAATATGGAAACAAAGTTACCTTAAATATACATGTATTGTTCAAAATTAGATATTTCAGTTTTTACTCACCCAAAATCAATTTACATTACAACTTCCTAACATATACTACTTCATTCAGATGTTATTTTTGTCTTTATTATATTCATGAGGGTTTATTTATTGAAGGCAAGTTAACCAGCCATAAGTTACACATATAGATCTGTATACTCTTAAATCTTTTGATGCTAACAATCCAGCATGTGTGTAGGTAAATACTGCCGTAACCTTGTAACCTTTATCCCCGTAACTTCAATACCCAAGCCTGGGGCTCTCAAGTACGATCAGGGCCTTGTAACACTGTACAACCCAATTATCATGCTACACTATCATTTGCGGCATTTCTAAATGTACCTAATGAATGAATTTTCCATAAGCCTTGTGGGATAAAAACAAAAGTGCATCACCAGGAGAGCGAGAAGGCACTGCATGCAGCTCAGGGTATGTTTATTCTAAGTTAGAGCATCCTTCATTTAGCCTACCTGCGGGAGAACATAGTTAGAGCATCCTTCATTTAGCCTACCTGCGGGAGAACATTTGTTGCCAGATTTCGCAGTACAGTGCATAGTTAACACTGATTAGCTGGATGTCTTGATGGAGAAGTTTGAAAGGTGCATCTTTCAGTCACTTCTGTAACCAGTATATTACTTCCCGCATATCTGCACTCCCCCCCCCCCTTTATTCCTTCATCATTTCTACTCTAAAATAAGCTAAAATTTCCAAGTATGATGCTGATTAATGTTTGAATATTTTCAAAGTGAAAAATATATTTTGAAATTATTCAAATATGTCAAAAACAAATACAAGATTTTAACTGCGCCTTGTAGATTTCTGCCTTCCTTTTCAATAAAACAGTACAAGACCCGAATTGATAAAGTCAAGTTTCCTATGAAAGAAGTGAAGAAAGAAAGAAAATCAAATAGACATTAGGACAGAATCTGTCATTTAGAGTCTGGTGCTACAGATGTTGTTTCTTTGTTTTTTACAAAAACACTTATGAAAGATCCACTATCGACGACACTGAAATTCTAAATTTGTAATAATTCTTGGTTTTCTATGAATATCAGTTACAGTTCATTTACAAGTGATATGCATAATTAAAATATGTCCATAGTTAAATAGTTGGCATTCAACAAACAAAGAGTATTCTGGTTTTCTTTTAAAGGTTCAAAATCTTTTTATGTTGTCATTGGGTAATCCAAATTAAAATGATGAGTAGGGTTTGTAGTATTATCTGTGTTATACAAAAAATATGACATTTTCATCCAACAATCCACCATTAGGACTAACAATTAGTAACAACAGGGGGGTGGAGACCCAACCTCCCTGCAAGGAAGTCAGTTCCATAGTGGCGGTAGCGATCCTGGGGTGGTTAGGACTGACAGTAAGAAGTGAATGATTAACAACAAAAGTATAAAATTGTGTAAATTGTGTTAACTTCAAGTCTCTTTGCAAATTACTAATAATGCAGGTTTTTTCACAAGCCCGATTGGCTTAATTGAATTTGTACATGGACATGTTAAATTGGCGACTGCTTGCCCAAGAGGCTAGTGATTTTTTTTTTTAAATTAATTTGGAGCCCTGGATTTATTGAGTTGTCAGAACTTGTTAATCCCATATCAAATGACACTGCATCAGTCCATGTAATTCTGACATCACAGTAAAATTTGTAACATTTTACTTTAAACTTTTCAAGCATCAAGGTGTTCTCTTTAATACTGGCATAGTTTACTGTGAAAAATAACGTTTTCACTAACATTTGTGAATTTAGAAAGTTTAAAAGATGGATTAAGATAGCAAAGTTGATTGGCATAACAATGAAAAATCTTTATCAATATAACAACGTAAAAAAAAACTGTCAATATTACAGTTCTTAAACCTTCCAGCACATTTTTAAACATGGCTGATTTATTTTGCAAAAGATTTTTAAATATAGCTTTCTTAAATTTAAAATTTGAATATCACTTTTTCAGATTTATGTTAAAATATTTTCCGTTCATTGAAAATTATTTAAATGTAATTTATCATATAACAAATCTACAATGCACTTAACAATTTTAATGTATCCCTTGAATCTTTAATAGTTTTTGAAGTATCCTATATTATTTTCATATCAAAGTTAAATTTTGATAAATGTTTTTTTTGGGGTTTTTTTAGTAATCGGTATACCCCTGCAAGAGTCATATATGATGCAATCAACAAAAGGTTAAAATTTCTGCCGCATGAACAAACATAACATTCCAATTCCTTTTTATTTTTATCATTCCTCCTTTACTCACAACTGCTAATGCATTGAACCATCATATAGTGGTATTTTTACTATGTCTTTGTCTTGTGGAAATGCTATCAGGAAATAAAGCCTTTCAAATCACCTACATGTATTCCCTTTTGGCTTACATATTATATAATACAGCCAGTTCCTACTCTCAACACGGCATAGAAATAAATCACAATTACTGTTCAGAATATTTAACAGCACACGATAGATATTTTATAGCCTTGCAATTTCACATCATTTCAAATCCCAAACAAGTCCATATAAAACTTAAAATATCATTTGCAGTACTCCCTTTGGCAAAGAATGATAACCATTTTTACTACATTGTGCGTGTAACCAAGAATCAATGCCGCTTATATGTTGTGGTAAATGGAATTCTTATGAATGAGCTGCGAATGTATATTTATGTCAAATGCAAGGCTGGAAACAAATTAAGGCTTCCCTAAGGGGATTAGCAGCTATTTGCATCAGTTAAACACTATATTCCTTGCTAGAACAATCAATTGTACAAAGAGCCCTCAATGGGTATAATTGATCTGCGGTACATCAATCTGATACCTCCCGTCAGTGCCTTTTTTTTTGTTAGGCACTTCACACATAAAACACTTGCAGCTAGACCAAGTAGGCAGACTTTTAATTACTAACAACAGGAATGCTAATAGGCGATAGTGCACTTGTGCCAATAACATTCTCTGAAACAGACATTGACACTATCCCACCTACTAGCATTGACATAAGTGTATATTTTGTACACAGCACACTTGACTGGGTTTGAATGGGCAAATTAAGTGCTAGTCAGCTTGTTAGGATAAGTGTGACCTCAGATGGCTCACTGCTGGGGGTCATAAATCATCAGAAAACAGGTGTACTCGGCCTACAGACAGGCCTGACCTTTGACCTGTCTGATGTTGTCTAGAGTGATTATTATCTATTATTAGTGCCAGGGAAATACCAGTGCTGACTGACAAGAGGCAGGGACCACCTGTTGGTAAGTGTGTCTGGCATAACAATGAATGCAGACATCCAACTTTGGGGAATCCCCTGCTGATGTGTTTATAGACCTGCACAATTAATACAGGTAGCTTTCACTCTATGGGATCAATAACATCAGAGAATGAAATAAAACCACAAAACCCTTCCATATTAATCAATAATCCCAGTCATGTCAAAAACCAATTTACACCTTTAAAAGGATAAGAACTTAGATCCTAGATAATACTGGAAAAGGATTCTGTTTAAGTCTATATAGCCCTAACCAATTTCAGTTCATATATTAGTGGTACCCATGGAGTGATAATTACACACTCCACACCAAAACATTTGATCTATATGTAAACAAAACTCTGGTGCCGTTTCACCTGATTAAGCCATATTAATAACACAACAAATCTAGATATGAAATCTGTATAGACACAGGTAGATATACACCTGAACACAGGTAAGACAAGTGCACCGAATGAACCTAATAATACTTTGCACAGGTCGAGGTCACTTTTCATGATCAATGACTTGAAAAAATTGGCTATTGTTAGCACTTCAATAGGGCGGCTCTTCAAAGATATCTAGAGTAATAGCTGCCACATTAGGGAGATACAATGACACATTTCCCAATGGGAAGAGTTAGCTCAGTGATAAGATATAGCCATTATGGGTTTAACTGCATTGGTGAAATGGTGCTATTTATTTTTACAAATCTATCTCCATCTACAATCAAATATATATGTCAGCGTATCAGATTGACAATTGATTGCTTATCATTTACAATCTTTTCTGATACAGTGGAATTCCTGCTTTACACCACAGCCAGCCAAAGCAGTCTGCGATGCCTTATCATTACCATGTTAAACTGTCAGGGTTCACCCACTTATCAAATCACCAATCCTTAACAGTGTACATAAAGTTCACCACATTTTTTTCTTTATTATGAAACTGTTCTCTTTGCGTATCAGCTAGATAAAATTTTACATATCTTTAATCTTACACAAGTTAACAAATGTAATTTTGTTGAAAATCCATTCTTTCAAAAAATCATAAATCATGCAGGGTGTAAAATTGGTGGTAGTATAATAGTGCTAGGCAAAGATAAATTTTGTTAGGTTGTGATATACACATGGATCTTAAAAGTAAAATCATGAAAAATTATGTAATGGAGCTATGAAAGTGAATCTTATTCAACCAACTCATTACTCAAGTTACGACTATTATTTTTACTGACAGAAAACTTTCATAGAAAATGAAAAGATTTTCAATAACAAAATAAATTGAGAGATAGTGAATTTCTTCTCAAGATTATCATCTTATCCTTAAATTGCCTTCTTTTAAATTTCCAAATGTTTAAATCTGCTTGAACAAATATTGTTTGTATTTACCTGACAGAGAGGCAGGGGTATTTGACCTTGACCCTGTTGAGCCAGCAGGTGAGGGTGCAGGGCGGAGTGCTGCCACTGCAGGATGGACACCTGTAGGGGTTGGTGTGTTTCGGGAGGGATCACATCCTAAGTCATCGCCACTCCGGGAATCCTGAAAAATATAAAGTTCACATAATCTTATTGATGCAAGGGATTCAATATGTAAATTGATTATAGAGAGGGAAGCATCAAAACATATCGCCAATTCCACAAAATGAACATAGGATGTAACATTTTTAAATACATTTCAAATGTCATCTGTACACATTTATCCAGAATTAAATCCTTTCTACATCATCAAATATTAACTGATCAGACAATTTTAACAAGAACACTATCAAATCCTTTTTTCTCTATCCAGATTATCACAGTATGCTATGAACAGCTATGCAGTGTTTAGTAAATTCCAAACTGTTGTCTTGCTGAAGGGAGGTAACACATGCATTGCTTCACTGTATTCAGGAAAGTCAATGTTTCAGTACATATACAGAGAAAGATACCAATTATTTCTGCTTGTTAGTCCACAGTACTAATTCATATATTGCTCACTGTTCTTCATCAATTTAACTAGTGAAGTAAAAAAGACAGTGTCCAGATTGTTGGAACACAACAACTAGACTGACAATCTGTCCCAAAGTTTTTGTCAGGAATTTTTTAGCTGTCTTTTTCAACAAGCTTATCTCCACCTAGTTTGAAACTTGCGATCAGACATAGAAGTGATCATTTTCGGAAGCTTTTTTCTCTCTTAATAATTCAATGTTCTAAAGACAGGCCAGTTGAACAGGCACCTCCAATTGCAAATGAAATAAGGTGAAATTCCAATGAAAATTGACTCAATTGCAAATGAAATAAGGTGAAATTCCAATGAAAATTGACTATTAATATATAATTGTAATATTTCTGTATTTTCATGCAAATTTTTTGAAGTAATATCTTTATTCATATTCCATCAGTGAAATGAAATTGTTAATTCTTAAATTAAAACTGGTTTTTTTTGTAAAAGAATTTTCCTATCTCACACCCAAAAAGTCAAATGGTATTGTTGTGATGATTTAATTTTAATAGTACAAAGAACTAGTATGAGCAGGTAGTTGTCTGGGACTAAATGTAATCTACTAAACTCAGAATAGAAGAATGATGGTGTTAACACGAATAGTTAATTTTCTACGAATTGGTTGGTATTGTGAAATTTTGTTTTTACTGCTTCACATCGGCTGAAACAATATTTTATATTTACCAATGAAGAAATTACATATTGAATCATAACCAAATAATCAAAATAGAGTTTAAATATAATTTTTCATTTTCACATCCAATAAATCAATTGACTATAATACTAATATAAATGTTTGTCATCTATTTTTTCTTTAAGAATTTTTTTCGTTAGAATTTCCATCAAAAGCACTTCTTGTGAATAACTTCAAACAAAAATAATGTATTGAAGTTTCTTGATGTTTTTAAGTCATTTTTGTCTTTCAAATAAATAACACATTAAATTTGAAAATATCCATGTAATTCAGTAAAAATAAAACATTTAAACAAATATTTTCCCGATCAAACACTACAAAGCAGTTATAGATTTCCCTTACTTGACAGAGCCGCCGTCAAATTTAATAGAAACTATCTCTCTGAAGACTTTCCAACATTATGTCTCCAGTATCATCAATAAAACCTATCATATTTCCCATCACCAACTCTAAAATCTGGATATCTGTAAAGATATTAAATACTTTTTTTCAAGTTTCCCGTGAAGCTGACAGGTTTATCGAGTGTTTTTGCACTACAGAATCCTCAGCGAACAGGCTGAATAATTTAAACACAAAGCTTGCCAGAGATCAATAAAAGTATTGATCTCCAGTACAGGGTTTTTTCACATCATAACTCTTCTAAATAACTTTCCTTTTTTCCATCAAAACTTTCATAAATATATTAAGTAATTAACTAAATGCAATTAGGCTTTTCTCTCAACTACACAAAATGAAGAAATTAATTGTGATTCACTGGAGAATCGAAAATCAATTCATCACCACAGAATAATAAATTGTGAAACAGAGTATAGACCGCCACTCTTATCAGCCTTACAATGCCTGCGAGCCTTTATTCAAACCATTCAACTCAAGTTTTTTTACCTGTTAGACGCAAGTGCGCTCAGGTATGACTGAAAGGTAATTGCTAGCCGAGCCAACACGAGAACTTTTTAAGATCTAGTATGGGACATATAAAATCCCTGTATTTTCACCGGATCAAAAGGAGGCCCTATCAATATGCCAGTATAACAGGTGCCCTTCTTCGTCTTATTTCTACGCGACAATGAGATGGCCTATGTAAAATAAAGCGCTTTTTCAGTATGTAGTTATTACCTTCAAGTCCTAGCTTTAATCAGATTTTGTCTTTCTTGTGGCCTAATGTTAATGACCAACTTCAACAGGCGACAATATTGTGTTGTGCATATTTAAAATTACCCCTTTCAATACATAAACAGCTTGTCAAAGGAACCCCACAAAAACTTGGGGAGAAATTGCCCATGCGCATGGCAGTCACAGGTAAATGATACCTACAGGCCTGTCGTGTGCAGACTGGTTATACAATATAGGCATTATAAGACTCCCTATTTATTTCTATACAAAATTTGATGGCACACTAATTCATTGCTCTTCCTCCCTCCACAGGAATGTTAGTTTTTTTTCCAAACCAGAACATCAAATCAAATTTCAGAGATTTAATCAAAAACAAATTTCTTAAAATTGAACAACACATTTAATTAACATCTTTTCGTCAGTTTTCAAAATTTTGTCTCTTTTCCACTGAGCTTCTTAAAATAAAATCAGTACTTTGTTTGCAGACGGAATTCTTTATTTTAATCCTCTGTTTCATTAACATTCTTTTTATATCTCCACTCTATTAGCAATTATAAATTATGAACTGCACAATATCTGTTTTCATTCAAAATTAAAATCCTTAATTCTACTGATAGGTATACATTAAAGGGCGCTAGAAGTTCTAATGAGACTGGGGATCAATTATCTGCTTGTCAGAGTATGGGCCTCAATGCTGCCCAGACAACAGCTGGAAAGACCTGGGCAGCTGTACAGCCAATGGGATCAGAAGGTCCAGTCCGGCTCCACAAAGGGGCATTCTATTTGCCTCACTTACACCAACTGTCAGACAGGAAGTCTCTCAGGAGGTCACAGAAATATATCAGACTTTTAGAAAACTTTTGAGTAGCCCAGTATCTTTGTACTTGTAATTCAAATTAAATATTTTTAAATATTTATTTTAAACTAAGGCCGATAAATATTTTGATGATTTAATGGTGGACATAGCATCACAGTGTTTTAACATTATCATTGTTACATCATCCCTACTTCCTAAAATTGTTTTGCAATCTTCTCAAGATTAAATGGAACAAAATCCAATTGTGGTTTAAAAGTGTTTGATCCACGAGTCATAAATTGAAATAACAGAGTAAGACTGTGGTTTCTTGTTACATAAGGTATTAAATACCTTTGAGTGTGTATACTCTGGCCACAATTTACTAATTTATGATATGTACCACTTATAAATTCTGTATTTAATGTATCAACTGGTGTCTTAATTACCTTTCCCAGGTGTTTTTTAACTATCTGTAAAATTAACTGACATTAGTATAACTCTTTTATCAATTACAGGTAATTAAATTTGACAATAAACAGGTAACTCACTGTCTACTATATCACCTATTGTAGTCAGTACATAATAGAACACAATATAATTTCCAGATTCTCTTAATACATCTACATAATCTACCACAGGTAAAATTTTGCCTTTTTCTCCAGGTAAATTGGATTTTTCAGTCTGTATCAGTAACTTGTATATCAGAGTAGTTTTCCCCTTAGGGCTGGTTTGCCTCTAACCTGGTATTGTCATACCTAAATCGCAAATCCTGACAAATAAGAAACTAAGAAAGGTAGCATAAAAGTATGTCTCCCTAGTCAAGATACAGGCGCATTGTAATTAATACACAGGTGTACAGGTAATATTTTCCTTATCATAAATCAAGGTACACTATATGAGAGGACATAAGTTGAATACAAACACAGCTTTCCAATTTATTAACTCATGAGTGACCATCTATACAGGATATTGCTAAACAATTCCCCCCCGCCCCATTTCATATTTTATTTTGAAATCTATTTTTGCTTCAAATACAATTTCTATTTAAAACATTGCAAATAGGCAGTTTATTATCTTTATACAGCAGATAATTTTTTCATTTTTCTTCCCACCCCTTTTTCTTTTTTAACACTGCATAGATTAAACTTTAAACAAAATAGTAATGACTTGATAACTGTTTCAAATTTCTGCCAAAATATTGGTACGTATATAATTTTATATGATATGCACATAGTTTTTTTGTGCATATTCTTTTTAAATATAATAGGTGTTACATAACCTATATTATTTGGAAGACTTATGTATTCATTTAATTTGATCATAATTCAAAGCCTCAATTGAACACAATAATAACCAGACAGAATACATTTGAAGCAATTAATATTTTAAATTTCATTTTTTTATATTTTTAAGTGCTTAAATTTAACTAATGAAACATTATTCCAAATGCTTGATTGGTCTCAGAATGTAGTTTCCAAATACTATATTTATATTGAATGACAGTTACAAGTATAGCCTTAAAAAGTGAAATAGGAATATAAACAATCACATATACATCATAAGAAAATATATACAACGAAATGTCAAACAAAAACCAAAAATCATTATCTTCACACTTCCCTCAAAAACAATTTGTAATTCTGAAACATAATCTGCCATCAAAATTTACATGTGCTGTTGAAACTCACAAGCGCTTTGTGGATTTCAATTTTGACAAAACCCAAACCGTGAAATTTAGATGCAACTTTAAAAATTTTGACATAAAAGTAATCAACATCATCTCTCATTTTCATCAGAATTTAAACCAACTGAAAAATACAACACCAAGTACATCACAGCGTATTGTTTTGGATCATCCGAATTAAAGCTCCTCTCTCAGGAATATGTTGACAATTCGTTAATTCGTTTAGCATCCGCTAGCCAATAAATGGTCTAATTAAAGGATAATTACTGGCAAAG